CTCATGTATATAGATAAAAACAATTTACTTCGCGTTATATTTATTTTAATTACGTTTCGCGATAAATTAAAATTTATACTATGGATGAAATTAAACAATTAATAACTTCTTGAAAATTTTCTGAAAAACTAATCGCGAAGACCGATCACGAAATTACGAAGATGGAACTATACATGTATTCATGCAAAACGCATCTTGAAAGTGTATCGCGAGTCACACACACAGAATAATTGACGTGAGACTCAGAGATTTTCCAATTAAATATTGCCCCATAAAATTGTAATATTGAGTATAGAATAAAGGCTAATGTAACGCCAATGTTACGTATCAATAAGTGCACAGTATTACACTTACATTATTTCCCAATACTACGCCAATACTTTATGCTACCCGGGCATTATCGACACTTTATATTATAATTCAACTACGGATTTAATATGTTTATTTTCATTGCAAGAAACCAACTGCAAAGTATAACGATTCGTTATTTTTTGAGTAACTGTAACGCGTTACTTTTCCGAATTAGTAACTTGTAACTGTAACTAGTTACATTTTTAGCGAAAAAACTAACTGTAACTAGATACTTTTATAAAGTAACTTTCCCAACCCTGAATATAGTCTATTTGAATCTCTTCAAACCTGAAATATATGCTTTATATTTGTGAAAATGTGGTATAAACGCGTTATATACGAACAACTGCATTTTACGTTAAGATATATAAAACGTAAGTTTGCAAACTCGGCAGAAACGCAGCATTCTTTTGCCGAAGAAAACTGTGGTTGGCACATTACCAATGCAAAACGCAATACAATGCATGCCACTTCGGCAAATTCACCGCTCGTAAACTCCTTAACTGTAATTTCTTCCTCTATTCCAGATAGAACTTTAAGTTCTATTGTGTCATAAAAAAAAGATACAAATGAAAATTCGTATATTATCTATACGTTAGGGGATATATACTACAAATCTTTTATATATAATATTAGAAAATATGCTTGTGTCTTTCCCTGTTTGTTCTATATATATGTATACTCAGTTAATCAACCAACTGTTACTATAACAAGTGAACTGCAGTTCTATTTGCTTTCAACACTATAAATTACTACATTCTTGAGAGAAGAGTTAAAGAAAGTTACAAGTAAACATTCCATTTCCCCCCCGAGCACTCCTTCATTCGGAGTCGACAACGTATCGCTCCAGCTTCCGTTTGTTGCCATTCGGAGCAGGGAAGAGTTTTGGGCTGAGTAAGCTGGTCGCGTCATCGGCAAAGGGCCAAGGCACGAGCGACTACCTTCCGAGCGAGTGGAATGGCTGAAACGGGAATGCGAGACGACCGAGGGCCGCGCGTGAAAAATAAGTTGTGCCGGAGAACAATTAAGGAAATGACAGCCGTAAATTTCGGCGGATCGCGGCCGCGTTTTAAGAGCGTCTTCTCGCGAGAACGACGAAATTGCTTCCATCAATCCGGGAGCCGGGACAAATTAAGGAAGAATTGGCAAGCCCGTTCAGCGAGGGCCAGGGGGTGCACCCCTCTCTCAATTTAGCGACATTTTTATAGTAAAGTCACGTTATTGCGAGTCTAAGAAATTATCAAATTAAAGTGTGGTGAAAATTATGTTTCGGAAAACCTGCGCTCTTAATGTGTAATCAATATAGAAATAGAAACATTTTAACAGAGAACTCTTTAAAAAGATGCCGTACCTTTTTCAAATTTAAAGATACTTTTGGTACAACTAGTATACAATGACAAATTTAAAACGTTATCACTGCTGAGCGAAAAGTTAGATGTTCTATTATAATTTTCTCAAATATGAAACAAATAACAAAAGTTTTTACGAAAATAAAAGAAAATTTTGGTTATATTGCGCTTCTAATATATTTAGGAGAAGAGATAAGAACAGCACTTGTTTATCTTTCACCCATATTTATGCTCTATTATTTCTAACTGGTATAAGCTGTTAAAGACTTTTTCAACTTTTTCTTTGTATTTAATAGGGATTTCAAATAGGGGGAATGCAATCAATCAATATCCCCTCATTGATCATTGCATGCGAATTTTCAAGATTTAAACAGTATCTTCAAAGGGTTTGTTCTCTAAAAAACGTTCTTTGAGTTAAATGCAAATTACAAATCCATTAAGAAGCAATTCAACGACACGCTTCGATAATGCCCCTTTTTATTAGCAGAATCTTATTTCCGAGAGGGATGATGGCGTAATAAACAGTGACGTCAATGTCTCTAGTCTAGCCTAATTGTCTTTTAAATGTTTCGTCATGAAACGAACATTAGCCGGCGTGGGGTTGATAACAGGTTCTCCCTGTATTGCCTCCTTAAGAATTCTGACTTGGTACCACTAATTAACAGTGGAGGGGCTGGATGTAATTTATGCACGGGGCTCGTTACCAAACAGGTGGTGCCCGGCGGCTAATGACCTGGAGATACCAATAATTCATTGATTAATGCCGTGCGCTGAATTTGCAAGTCCAGTTATCTCGTATTTTCCGCGCCCCAGCAATAACAATTATCAAACACTCCAAGCTTTCCACGATTGCAGTCACTCGTTTACTCGCATTTCGCGTGGAAAATACAAGCAATAATTAAGATTCATATTTCTATTTAATATAGGCAAGGTTCATTCTAACTCGATACTTTTCTTTCTTTCGTTTTATATACGAAGGGTATATTTTCACTGCACTTTTATTAATGGACACGCGATTTTATAACAGTTTGTACCACTTTCTAAATTTAAACATAAGCTTTCAATTGTAATCGTGCGAATTAAAGAGCTGCTATTAATTGAAAAGAATTAGATAAAAAAATTAATTTTATATACAGTGTAGTAATAAAAGATAAGTTACTTTTTCCGATTTTAAGTCATTGAGAATACACTTGCTAGTCAAATGACAAAAGTTTACATATTTATATTCATACATCGCGGCGTATCCCAAGATGGGGATTTATTGAGGCTCCTCGACAATTGCACAGACAAGTAACCGCCGAACGTTACGAAGTATTTAAGGTGGACTGGATGAAACAGCGTATAATTAGATAAGGTGTAAGACGTATTTGGAGCGCGGCCATGCTGGCCTGCCGCCAGTGTTCAGCTTTTCGGTATAAACCTATGAAAAGGGTCAAGGGGGTGTCCCTGGTGGAGAGAAGCGACGAAGCTCTACATTGGTTACATCGGTCGCATTGATCGTATGGCACGTGCGCGATTGGATAATTTCTCGGCCAACTAAAAAGCAAAAAGGGAACAGACACTGGGCGTGATTTTTTGTTCCTTTTTGTCGTTCACTAGGTGGAAGAAGATATCAATATTCTCAACTCTGAGAACCGTACCGAGTCTGCAGATTTGTCTGCGTAACGCGTGTCTTTATGATACGCGTATCTTTTTATCGTGCAATTTTTATGGTGCTTTTATTTACCCTATTGCGGAAACGCCTTTCAACCGTTAGGTTATATCAGCGTGAGAGCTATTTCTAAAAATTCCTTGAAATGCATGCTTAATCTTGATTAAACACTGAATCCAACTCCAGCCGCTTAAACTCCTTCAAGCGCTAGATTTTTTTAATTTCCCTTAACGGCAAAATATACGGGACAAGGACCCTACCATTACTAATCACTCGTGTTAGCACAGAGCTAGACGTCATCTCGTACGAAATTGTTTCTAATAGAAAAATTGTAAAAGTTGGTCGGAATAAAGAATATGTAAATTATCTTATTTATTATTAATTATAATTCTGACTTAATTAGTATCACTCTCTCATTTTTAATGCATGCAATTTACGGAATTAATTTTATTACTATTTGCATTAACGGAAAATGGTCGTTGGGCAAACTCGTCATAGCAGGTGCACAATGTGTAGAATTAGCTACCATCAAAGCTAGGTTGTGTTAAGCTAAAGCTTTACTTTGGACGCACGCACCGCGTTTATCAGGCTACGAGGATTACGCTCCGAAGTGTCGACTCGCGTTGTTATCTACTAATTCCAATTAGCGTCAGTGATCTTCTGTGTTACCTTCAGCTCTAACTTCGGTTGACAGATGCCTGGGCGAAGGGATAATTTGGATTTCCGTCGCGACGCCACATTTTGTCAGACATATATTTGCGTAAAAAGACATTATCATAAAAAAAATGGCATATCTGCAGTGCGATGAATACAACGCTGCTCAACGCGCTCTTGAATAGAGAACGAGGTAATTATGCATAAAAGGGGCCTCCTCTCCGATTTGCTTCATTTTTAAATATGTTGTTGGGGATGTCTTCCCGAGTCATTTCATATATATACATATAAGGGTCGGACTCGAATAGTTTCGGAGATACTCTAGATGGGTCATCAAGTGTTTATAACAAGGAATTTAAGGCAAACTGTGACTCTAGACATGAAATTTAATGCAAACTGTGACACTAGTTGGGTTTCGAGTCTTTAGACTGTTCTGTAAAGCAGATAATTGACCAAGTTTTAGACTATTAACGCACCCAAGAAAA